AAATATGGTTGATCGTTATTACAAATATGGTTGATCGTTATTACAAATATGGTTGATCGTTATTACAAATAAGGTTGATATTTATTACAAATAAGGTTGATATTTATTACAAATATGGTTGATTGTTTTTACAAATGGGTTGATCGTTATTACAAATAAGGTTGATATTTATTACAAATAAGGTTGATATTTATTACAAATAGGGTTGATCGTTATTACAAATAGGGTTGATAATTGTTACAAATAGGGTTGATCGTTATTACAAATAAGGTTGATATTTATTACAAATAGGGTTGATATTTATTACAAATAGGGTTGATCGTTATTACAAATGGGGTTGATCGTTATTACAAATGGGGTTGATCGTTATTACAAATGGGGTTGATTGTTATTACAAATGGGGTTGATCGTTATTACAAATGGGGTTGATCGTTATTACAAATGGGGTTGTTCGTCGATACAAGGTTTGTATCACTAATGGGGATGATTATTGCATTTAGGAATTGAATATACAACGGAGAGGGACAACCACCTACATTTAAAAGGGGGAGCGGTCCTCTGCGCATGCGTAAGATGGCCATAGCGTGTCATTGTTTACAAACAAGCGTCTACCCATGAACGTTTGCGTTTTTAGCGTGTGTTGTTATCGTCGCTTGGGACTCAATTCCCGCGCGTGCGCAGGTGACGACCCTCCCGCTTCAAATGACAAGAACGTGCAGATAAGTATATAATTGAGAAAGTCAGTATTTATGCTCAACTTGTCTTTGATTACTCTGTTAAGTACCAATTTTATTTCCGCAGTAAAACATGTGTAAGGTTTTAGCGGTTAATATCCTTGTTAACCCATAAGGTTTACCACCGAACACATTTGATATGTACTCTACATCATCACCGCATCCCCTGTTTAAAAGGTTCGATCAGTCATTCGTAACCTAATCGTAGTAATCACGTGAGTAGTTGATTAACCACACGATTATAACATATTGTAAGGAATGAGAGTAGCACATTCGATGTTAAAG